ATAACCTCCAATATCAAAGAAGAAAAACTTAAATTTCTCACAAACTTATTCATAATATAGTCAACCCTCTGATAACTGGTTTGTGGATTAGTCCTCACTTTATGTCCTAGGGACAGGAAAAAAAAAAAAAAACTATAGGTTCCCTACCAGCCAAGGAAGGCTCAGGTCTCCAATTGAATATGGGAGCAGAGAATATTCTAAATGTCAAAACACTGGGGAAAGTTTAAATAAAATATGCTATACAAAATGACTTATATAGTCTTTTAAAATTATGTTTACAAAGACATGCTTATGTTATGATCAGGAAACGAATTAGAAATGTGATATTATCTCAACTATGTAAGAGAAAATACATTGAATCAAAAAAAAAGACAGCCAAATTTTAATACTGGATAAGTGGTTTTATCTAAGTTATAGAACAATGGGTCAGGTGGCACCTGTGGCTCAAAAGGGTAGGGCGCTAGCCCCCATATGCCAGAGGTGGCAGGTTCAAACCCAGCCTCAGCAAAAAAAAAAAAAGAACAATGGGTAATTTCAATTTCTTCTGCTTTTCTGTATTTTATAAAATTTTTTATTATATATACATTAATACATCTTAATATAAATAAAATCTTCATTTTGATGGTAGTAACTAACAAGTACTAAGTCCTTTATGTAAGCTTTTAACTTGTGAGTTGCCGGCCATTATCATGCCCATATCACAGATGGTAAAACTGAGGCAGGTAGCAGTTAAGTGACCCTCTCAAGGTCAGCTAGTTTATAAGTGTTGTCCAATGATATGAACCCCATCCTTTACTTTAAACTTCTACACCATGTCATCTGTGATATTTAGAATAACCATAACAACAAAATAATGCTTGTGTGATAATGTTACATGGAAAATAAAAAACAAACATATTTTCTATAACTTCCCAGAAAAGGGAAATCATTTTTCATAATACACCTAAATATTAGCAGTGTTTCTGATACAACTATAATTGATTTCTTTCTCTTCTTTGTGTGTACTTTTCTCAAGTTTTCTTTAATAAACCCTATATTTTAAATTTTAAATATTACTCAAATAGGATTTTCTTTAAGAAATCGTAAAGTAGTTTGTTGTCATTCGATAGGAAAAGAAGATCATTTATGGTGAATACACAGTTGTCACGTCCTGCCCTTCCTTCTAAATGTCCAGAGAATGACAGAATCACAGCAAAACTCCTCACTTTCCAGAAAAGGGAAATCATATTTTCATGGTCTTGACACTCTCTCTTAGCCCCATGGGTGGGAAGACAAACTCAAAGGAGACCTGGCTACTCTCCTGTTTCCAGCCACTCCATGTGAGGTCATTGGACCTCGCTTCCTTCCAGACTAACCATGTGGTTCTTCTTTTCAAAGTTAATGCGAGTATTTCCCTCACTCAGCCAAGAAGGCTGTTTCTGTTGTATTTCAGCTGTTACCCATAGCCTATTTCTGGATTCAATATTTATAAACACAAGTCCGGTTTTATTAGCATCATTAATAACAACCATAAAGCAGACTGTCCTGGGCTTTGCAGTCAAATTTCACTTTTGAGCTATAAATAACAATTCCAAAAATGCAAAAGAATGTGCTAGCAGAAATGTCCCAAGTTTCAGTACTCCCCCAAGTCTCAATAACTCTCTCAGTCTAACAATGTAACAGCATCTAAACTTCCAGATCAGAAAACCTACAGCCACAATCTAGTCCTATTTATGAAGAAAGTAGTGTCAAAGACTAGAAGCAACCCAGGGCAATGATATATAAATCATAATTTTTTTAAATGCCACTTAAAAACTGCAGTATAACAAAAAATATATTTGGTCCTTGTTCCAGTCCCTACAACAGAATTCCTAAAACCCTTGGAGTTTTGAGTGATGGGAGTGTCTTTGGTTGTTCATATGGAGCCCCTCAGTTTACGCTAATGAGGTGACTCAGGGTGGGACCCCCTAGATAGATCCGTATGGAACTGGTCATCAGAAAGGCCAAACACATGGTTATAACTAGCGGGCTGGAATTTCCAGTCCCACCATTGACCTTCAGGAGGGCAGGCAGTCTAGAGACCAAGTTCTAGAAAAACTCTTCTAAGTGGAGACAAGAGTTCCCAGGGCACTGAATACACCGACGTGCTGGGAGCACACACCCCCACCCGCCTAGAGGGGCCCTGAAGCTCTGTGGTGCCACTTCCCATGTCCCAGGTATCTCTTCTACTTGGCCATTCCTGAGATGTATCTCTTATAATTAACCAGTAAACATAAGATGTTTTCTTGAGTCCTTTGAGTAGTTCTAGCTATTATGGAACCTAAGGGGGGATCATGGGAACCCTGGAATTTTCAGTCAGCCAGACACAAGTGTGGGGGCCAGCAGCAGATGTACTACCTGGCTGAATCTGAAGTGGGGGCTGTCTGTGGGGCTGAACTGAACTGCTGGGCACTCACAGATTGGTGTTGGGGACCTGACATTTTGTGTTAGAAGTAGAGTCAGAAAAGTGGGTGGTGCCTGTGGCTCAGTGAGTAGGGCGCCAGCCCCCTATACCAAGGGTGGTGAGTTTGAAACCGGCCCCAGCCAAACTGCAACAAAAAATAGCCAGGCATTGTGGTGGGCGCCTATAGTCCCAGCTACTTGGGAGGCTGAGGCAAGAGAATTGCCTAAGCCCAAGAGCTGGATGTTGCTGTGAGCTGTGTGATACCATGGTACTCTACCGAGGGTGACAAAGTGAGACTCTGTCTCTAAAATTAAAAAAAAAAAAAATAGTGTCAGAAAACATTACTCAGAAACCAACACCAATTTCTGACATTGACCTAAACCAAGTCTTTTGCAACAACCAGAATGACCCACAGCTGAAGGAAGCAACAGCCAAGCCATTTTAACCAGAAAACAAAGGGAAAGAAAAGAAGGCCAGACTCAGCCCTGAGGTCAGCAGAGAAGAAACAGAAAACATCTATCACCAAAATAATCAAGGAGCATAAATCTAATATGACTTCTGAGTCTCCCAGAAGATAGCCTGAAACATATATACTTGTTAGTTTCAGAAATAAGAATTAATCACCAATGATAAAGATTGCAACCACTTTATCTCTACATTCTTACAAAGTTAAACACACTTTTTAAAAAATCAGTAAAGGGCAGTGCCTGTGGCTCAGTGGGTAGGGCACCAGCCCCATATATCAAGGGTGGCAGGTTCAAATCTGGCCCCAGCCAAACTGCAACAAAAAACACCCAGGTGTTGTGGTAGGTGCCTATAGTCTTAGCTACAGGAGGCAAGAGAGTTGCCTAAGCCCAGGAGTTGGAGGTTGCTGTGAGCTGTGAGGCCACAGCGCTCTACCAAGAGCAATAAA